ATATATATATATATATATTTGATGAAGAAGTATAATAAAAACTGATACAAGTGTATGAGTAGGCTAGTATGTGCTAAGTAAGTCAATTTATCATTATTTCTTCCATCCTATACCACTGTATTGAAACGAATGCGGAGACGCACCAGGAATTTTTACACCCATGGAATATACATTCCAACTATCCTTGCCGTAACCGCCACCAAGCGATTGGAATGAATTGGCACTTGCACCATTTACTTTTATACCTTGGAAATAAACATTCCAACTATCTTTGCCGTAGCCACCACCAAGTGACTGAAATGAATTGGCACTTGCACCATCCACCTTCCTACCCTGAGAATAAACATTCCAACTATCTTTCCCATAACCACCGCCGAGCGATTGGAATGAATTAGCACTTGCACCATCCACTTTTCTACCCTGAAAATAAACATTCCAGCTATCTTTGACATAATCCCCATTTAGGAAATACGGATTTGATCTTGCTTGAAGAACAAGGTTGTTCAAACCATGTTCATCATCATTAATATCACTTGAATCATCACTCTCTTCACGTTCACCAATAAATGGCTTGTTCTCAACGATTGCTATTAGGCACGCACATACCAATAAGATCGAAGCGAATTGCATCTTAACATAGAAATACATCTAGTTTATTCCGTCTGCTGAAATATGTCATAAGATATTTTGTTCTTATTCTCCTTTTCCTTTCATATTCTTTCGTTCTGTTTGGCATGCAGGTATATAAGTGTATGCTTTGTATGAAAACGATTTAATTCTCGATAAGGAGAAACACATAATAAAGCGCAATACCATCAACACAAACACTCCTTCTATCAAAAATCATTATAAGTTATTTCGAAAGGACATAGCCAAAATAAAGCTTTAATCTGGCAGAAATCTCGACAAAAAACTATTTTGATTTGAGTCGAACGACAAATTTTATTTCTAATATTATTATAAAACGAAATGTAGATCTGTAACGAACCTTAAGCCAAAATCTTTTAGAATACAAGTTTTGTTATTATTCTGCAACTTACCTTGGTAATAATCATCGACAACTGATTGTGACTGTGATGTGTAGAGTTTATATATAAGTGTACAGACAATTCGTTTTTTTTTCTCCTTCTTTTTTCTGTTTTGTATTGACATGACCTACACAAACATCTTATTCATATTTTTCTCTCCGCCTCAATTCTTCGTTATTCGTTTAGTGAAAGAAAAAAATAATGACATCCAGGATTCTTTTTCATCCATACTAGTATGAAGAGCGCCCGTAAGCAAACAAACATTACCATTAACATAAAATCTGATCAATAAGAAAAGACTAAAAACAGCAATTTACTAAAAGAAAATATTATTCACTGCCGACAGAATTTCTATCGATCAATCAATCAGAGAACCAAAAACGAATATATCGAAAAAAAAGTGTATCTAAATTCGTGCATATATTATTCACAATTCGTGGCGCAAACAGTGTCACTAGACTCTCTATCTAACATATACATCCGGACATTCATGATCTCAAAGTGAAATCATTCTTATCTTTTTTCCTTCTAAATTTTCTGAAGATTTTCAAAAGTTTCATTTTTACTCGAATTCAAAATAAATAAGTACTCGAAGCACTATAACAAAACATATAAATGCAGCTCATAAGTGAAACAATACTTCTGCTTGCGTAGCAAAAACTTTGCCGTCCCTTTAAATTCCAGTCATAAACGAAATCAAAAAATTTTGTCGCTGTATTTGATGAATGAATATTGCTGAGCAAGACACATCTGCGTGGCTCTATAATTATGCTGAAATAGATTGGATGCCTACGAAATTAATAAAACAAATGTGTTTATATTCATGCAACTACAGAAACAGTATAAATCAACTAAAGAAATAAAACAAGTTCAACCTTCATTTATGAGAGTGTGAGATAATATTCTTTTTATTTTCTATGATCCTCACTTTCCTGAGGATGAATGTGGGCGACTGAAATGAATATTACATTGATATATGATTTATTATAAAGAGAAAGATTAAATTACAGATATGAGAATTAATATATTTATTTAATGAACAGTCAGATATTTTCTTCAGATTTCATTTGTGAATTGCGTAGTTCGGTATTGTTGTTAGGGTCAATTTGATTATTTATGAGACAACACCAATATTTCCATCGTTGCCAACGTATTTTCACTAACACAGATTGCACTTGACGACGAAAACGTGATGAGAATATTATGAAAACATAAAAGCTGATCTAAAATAAATCAAAAACTTACAAATATGAATTAGAAAAGAAAATTTATGTACGACAGAATTCATACTGTTGATAAAAGCAAAAACTGTCTGAATCAGTCGGCCAATTGCATATGCCATAGGCATACTTTGTGATGTAGGAACATAAATGGAATAGATACGATAAGCATCAAAAGGCGATACCGAACAAACGAAGATAATTACACGCATAAGAACCATTGCTGTTATTTGCTTGTCTGATTTACGACGAACAATGGGTAGCTGTCGTCGAACTATACGACGAACATTATAGTAAGCTAAGACGCTAAAAGTTGATGCAATTACAATAGGTAAGAAACCAATTAAAACTGGATAAAAGAAGAATGTTGAATACTGAATCGCTACATAATTCGATATAGTACATCCTAATGTTGGTTGAATGTTATAAGAAGAGCCAAGTGCAATGCTATGAATGATTGCAAAACAAATGAATATAAACGCAAAATATCGACCTAATTTCAATGTGCACATTTGTCTTAAATGGAAATGATGATTTGTTGAAAAGAACTGATCAACAGCAGAAAAACATATCATGTAAAAAGTAATGAGGCCACATGTTTGCCCTAATATATATCTTAGTTTGCACCAGATGAAAAAACGTTCTGTCGCATCATCTCCATATATTGATATTAAAACAGTTAAACTAATATAGACAAACTGATAAATGAAGTTGAAAATTGATTCAATAGTTATATAGAAAGCACATCGATTGGTTCGAAATAGTTTCAATTGAATAAAAACAAGAAGATTCAATACATTACCAATAACTCCAAAACTAAATAAAATAAAACCACTATAAAACGAATATTGTGTAGCAAATTTGAGAATTCCGTCAGATACTGATGATGTTGACATGATATTTTATTTAAAATGATACGTTCTTTATTACTTGTGTTTTTCTTCTTTTGCTGAAAAATCTAAAATTTAATATAAAAAAATATGTGAATCTATTCTTATCATTTATAGAGGATCTTAACAGGAATTAATTTGATGATTGATAAGGGAAGTCTTTAATTACTAGTATGACAATGTTTTATTTGAATTTCTCGTTAGAGCTATTCGTAACGTGTATAAAAGAAAAAAAGAATGATGTTTTTCTCTGGACTGTCTACACATAAATAATAAAGCGAGAATGTATATTAATCTCTCATGTCATCAAAATATTTAATTAAACAATAATGTACTTATTGAACACGTATTCTAATTCATTTATGCGATACATTGCCAGGAGCCTTTAAGACATAAAATTTTATTTTGTCCTCAGCAGAGATTACAGTTAATGCAGAAGTTGATTATTTTGTGTTCTTCAGCTAGTATTTAATATGCTATATTTATATTCTATACTTTCTCGTTATAAAACAAATCAAACCGTACCTTCTCAAAAGTGATGCTTTTTAATTAAACAGCATAGTTATTTAAAGCTTAATAGCTATTTAAAATATTGATAGTTATTTAAACAAATGTGCACGATTATTAAAGTATTTCAGTATCTGACTCATTTCCTATAGAATTTCTGGTCTGATCATTAACTGCGTGACTGACTCTGAAAAATCTATAAAGCTCTTTTTTCGTGATTATTTATCAAATACTTTGAATTGTTAAGATATTTTTAAATAACCCTACTTTTGTATAGTTCATAAAATGATATACATTGAAAAATCAAGTTTTGTTACGAATGAAGTAGATAATTGAATAATAATAATAAATATTTCATTTTTTTTTCACAACCTCTGCTTGAAAATAATCAGTAACTTCAAATAAATAGCTAAGACTTTTTTTTAACTAGCTATGAGATGTTTATAAAAGAATGATATATAAAAAAGTATCTGTTTTAAGAATGACCCAAATATTTGAAACAAGTAATAGTAACATGCTATATTAAATCAGGAAGATATATGCATTCTGAATTTTTTTTCACCATCAGCAACGATTTAAATAGCTATGCATCAGAAGATAATGAGAAGATTAAATAGATAGTGACGAAAATAAAGTCATAGGCAATAAATAGCTGAAAAGCTTTTAAATAGTGCAGACGGCGCATTAAATAGTGCTGAAGAACAAATAGCTGATGAGCAGAAGATTAAAAACGTTTATAGCTAAACAGAAGTATAGTACATAGTTTTCTTTGCTATTTTTCAGAGATTGTTTCTATAACAAAAATTGTATATCTTTCGAGAACGAACCAAATTAAAACAACGGGAAAATTTTAAATTGGTCATTCATTTATTTCCATTCTTATTCTCAAACTTTCAATATATTTTAATAGCATTCATGGAAACTACATGCGAGTTTTCTAACATTAATGTAATTCATTCTTTACTGTCGAGTAGTACCACATCTATAAAACTGAAATTAGATGTTGACATTTGTCTTACTATGCTCAATAAAAATTTTCTAGAATTTCAAGTAAGAGCTTTAAATGTAACTATAAGATTCTATAGAAGTCTCATTGGAACTAGAACATGCATCTGATTGAATGATCTTCTTTTCTTGTATTTCTTTTGAGGGTTGACGATGGTGAGGTGTACATGAGTGTTGAATGATCCATTCCACTAATACGTACATCCCACACTCCCACCCACATGCATACCATCAACTTTAACTATAATTTTGTAAAGTAATCAAAGTGCTATATTTAGATGTGAAGGTGGAAGAGTGTGAATGGAAATGTAATTGAGAGTAAGGGTGTCTCCAAGAAAAGCTTTGATAAACATTTTATCGTATTTAACAATTCAACAAATAAAACAAGAGACTATTCTAATAAATGAACAAATGTTTTGGTCATTATTATCAATTTTTAGATAATCGAAATTTATTTTTTAAAATGTGTTCATAGAACAGATTTTGATTTTCATCAACAACTTTATCAATCATTTTTTAATATAGGATGTGGATGTGTATAGTATTATTGTCCGTCACACCCACACCCACACCCTCAAGATGGTTTGTGTAGTTTATTATATTTCTACTAAACATCAGAATATTTTTCTTCTTATCTTGTTGGATAGAGTATTGATTACTCTATTGAGCTACATAGTTCTCACTTGATTTGTTCCTGATCTTGAAGGAGAATCAAGCGAAGTTTTAAAACTCGTCAAAAAATATTTTTTCACACATTTTCGTTACTTTTCACAGATTGTTATAATTCGCCACAGATATCATTTCGAGGTTTTTACATACATGCTGCATCACACGAATAGCCTTAAAAGATGTTTTTCATTAGCATAACAGAAAGTGCTAATTAACCCTCAAAACTAAAAAAGTAAAATTAAGCGTTCTCTTTGAATATAGGACGGTTTCATTCACTACTTGATGCAAACATGTCTCCGATGGATCTGTTCAATACGGGATCACTTTCGCGACAATCAGATGTTATTGAAGGGAAATATTCTAAAGATCACTGTGCAAAAATATTTTTTAAAGACTTTTAGAACTTCGCTAAATTCTACAACAAGATAATGATCAATTCAAATAAAACATATGCAGTTCGATGAAGTAGTCAATGTTCTATACAACTATATAAAAAGAAAAAAAAATACAGTAAACTACACAAAACTATTAAAACTAACGTAATTATATTGTATGGGTAAATCATATTTTAAGATTGAAAGAAAAAGCACAAGATATATTATGAAAAGATTGTTTAGTGTTGAGAAAAAATGTTTGTGTTTAGTTGAATCCATACGTGGCAAGACATGACTGTAATTTGATATCGAATCGGTTTCGATATGTTGTCTCACATGAATAAAGATTGTTGGAGGAGATTTTTGTCAAAAACTCAGTGAGAAACGTATCCGCATTAGCTTCTTTACATATTGTGTAATTTGATAGTCCTTGTGTATTTGGTCGTGTCTTTTGAAAATCGATTAAGCCTTGCCCAAAGAATTGGTCCGAATCAGCCGATATAATGTATAGTGATTCAACATTTTCGAATGTTGTACAAAAACCGTTTGTATTATTGTTCTGCATCTGGACCATCAGCTGAGCTGCACTATTATCCCACCTAGATAAAGAAAAACAGTTAACAATGTATTTGATCATGGAAAAATATCCCGCCGAACTCACCAAGAAATAGCCGATTCAGATTGATTGGTACAGTTCGCTAACGATGTTATTAATTTGTATATGAATGGCGATAATGTAATGTTTAACGCTTTTAATTTCATGTCAACTTGGTTTATATTAGCAGGTAATTGGTGTTGTGTGCTTGATGGTATCGCAACATATTTTTTGATTCCACTATCATCAACACGTTGTACAGCAAGTAAATCTCAATTAGAAATAATGCACACATAAATATAAAGAAAGAACATTTTTAGAGGTTCGGAAGTTTAGTAAAAAATAAATTCTAAAAAATATTTGTAGGAAAGGAGGGGGAACGAGAAGCGGTGACTGAGTCTTATCTAGCTTCCGTTTGATTACGCTTTTCAGATTCAATAAGTATTTAAAACATTGCTATTTTTGAGTTGACATTCATCAATTTGTTCTTTACTTCTATGGAATATTGAATCTAATCAGGAGTAGAATGAACATTTTTTTTTACCTAAGAAGACGTTATAACTAGTGCCAGGTGGTTTTTTTAAATAAGGATAGATTCCTAATTTTGGATTTGGTATAAGTGTTGGATAATCAGATATTGATTTGAACTGGCCACCTACAAAAACAAAGACATTAGAATAAATCAAATCGAAGTCCATTTGAACTACTAACCAGATACATAAAGTGTTCCTATTTTTGATACAATCGAGCGATCTCGAGTGATAGCTGCAGCAATATTTGTAAAGGGACCAAGAACCAAAATATCTACTGGTTGCTGTGAATATTTCAATGTATATATAATCAACTCAACTGCATCAAATGGCGATGGTTGCAAGAAAATGTTGGTCGACTGATTGAGACAAGAGGGTGACGTCAGATAGCTATCGATGTTCGTAAGAACTGAGTTTGCTACAGTCCAGCCAGTTGATAATGATGACACACTTTAAGATAAAGAAATTAAAATTAAAATGATTAATATTTTGGATAATGACAACCTGAGTCCGCTAGCGACTGAAATACCATCTGTACAGCCAACTAATCCCAAAAGACTGAGGACATTGCTCGACGAATACAATGGTGCACTGATAAAATAGAGAATTGTTTCAACATAGATATGACTTAAATTTACCTAAATCCATCTCCAACAGTCGTAATAGCGAGAATATCAACCGTTGGAACCTTAAATTACAACGACAACAATAATAGTAAGAAGAAGTAAAACAAAAATAATTTACATTAATCAAATAAAGAATGGCCCATAAATCATCAATATCAACGTCAGTATCGATAATTACCGGTTGTCTACTAATATCCTGCCCAATGCAGTTTTGAACTAACTGCAAATTTTTAGTGTTCACTGAAAAATAGAAAAAGAAAAATATAAAAACATATTTTTATTCAGTTCTTTCAAAATTCGTTAAAGGATTATTTTGTGGTGAAATCTATGATCTCTTTAGTTATCATCTATTCCCCTCACTATTCTCGAGAGAACTAAGTATTCCATCATTCTCTAAAGTCTGTACCTGTAGTAGTTGTAACTTGGGATGTCGTTCCACTATTGACTTGATTCGTTGTCACCGTATTAGATGAACCTGAAAAACAGAAGAAGAATAAAATCTTTAAAGCGTTGCGAAAACTATAGTGGGCGAAGGATGGTGTGAACTACTAAACCAATTACAACTTTTATACATTCTATACATGATACGTGTTTCTTATGAATAAATATATTTTAGATATATATTTATGTAATTACTATAAATTTTTAAAAACGATTTTCATAACTTACTAGGGACTACTAGGTATTAATAGAGTTTAATGTAGACTGATAGAGACAATAGGAACTACCATGATCAATAGCTTCACTCTCAATCATATAGAGATAATGCGTCTTTTGAGAGTATAACATATTCAGCCACACCCTCAAGATAGTTTTTCTACTTACCCGATGAAGAACTTCTGGTAAGACCAACTGGAACCGCAATAGCAATCACGAGTAACACACCAATTGCCAAACCAATACCAAGCCCAATTAGGCAAGGTTTCGAACAGCGCCCACCAGATCTATTGAAAATAATAAAACAAAATGGAGATGTCTTGCAAAAATTTGTAGGTAATCACTTCTAATTTCAGTGTACTTCATGCATCAAGGAAAAACGTCCTTCCAGAAAATCATAGCTCTCACTAGTGTATCTGAGCCATAAAAATGAGACCGTGTAATTAAAAGTCGATATTTCACTCAGAGTACATCAACTTAATTAATTGTTTGGCTTTTACATCGCTACCGTCCAACGCCGAGATTTTTTGCATTGCAAGCGGAACAGTCTATTTCTCGTAGTTCTTTTCTAGTCATAAATCAAGAGACTTAACTGAGATAAGTTAACCTCATCTATGCTTTTCTCAAAGACCAAATGCTGTCTGTCTTCTATGTTCGTTTCACAGTTCATCGGCAGAGATTTGTATTGTAGAACATGCTACCCTACATGAGATCAACATGCTATTCTTTACAGTGAATGTATAATTTAGTTCGAAAAATTATTTAGCTGGTTGTAAAAAAAATAAAAACACTTACGGCTTAGAAGTTTGATGCTTATTACCATTTCGTGCGTCCTGATGTTGGTATTCTTGATTGTGAGGTCTTGATTGTGATGATGGATTTATGTACCCTACTGTTTGTATACTATTCGGATTATTCAAATTCATAACGATGCGAACGTGATCTGGAGTAGTTTCGGGCACTGATGTCATTGTAGTTTAATACTGAAAAGTACTTTATCAATGCTTATTTGAATGTTAGTAGAAAGTTCTAAGAAGACTGATAAATATGAAGTTTTCATGTCCCAAATATACCGAAAACCTTGAATCAAATGGAAAAAAAACTCGAACAGTATCTAAGAGTTAAAAGATAAGTTTCATATTCCTAAGTCGGGCCGAAACTTCTGTCATTTTGATTTATTATACATTTATCAATAATATTATTATATCTATGATAAAAAAATCGAAAATAAAGCTGTAGTAAACTCTTCAACTAGCCATTTAAGAATATAAAATCTCGTTGCTGATCTACATCGTTCATAGGCAAATAATTTCTTTGTCTAGCTGTAAGACTGATAAGAAAAAAATATTTACAACCGTCTTTTTCACCAGTAGAATAAGCTCTAGTATTTAAAGATATCATTTATATTCTTTAAACTACAATCAAATAGTATAATTTCACTCACTGTTAAATAATACCTAACGGTAATTGAAGTCGAAAAAGAATGAATGAATAAAACATCGATAAGCACACTTTTTTTTTATATCTCCTTTATCAAAGTGATCATCGATGCGTCACTCGTCATTGTTTTATCTCAATAAAAAAAACGGCAATCAGTCCGAGAACGAAGCTTTTAGAGGGCAATAGTTTTCGATTGTTTGCATCACGAATCGAAAAAAGCATATAAAATTACAAAAAATGTACCTATCAGCGCACGTTTTATCTTTCTTTCCTTGCGTTCATCATTAATACATACACTCTTCATTCGGTTGAACGAAAAAATCAGCACGTAGTCAAGTAAAGCTACTATTGGTCGTTTATCTAAAGTATATTGCTCGTGATAATATATATTGAGTGTGGCATAGAGAATGATACCATTAGTATTTTGCTGATATCTCTACCAATTTTCATCGCAGAGATTTCAGCTTAACTTTAAAAAATTTCTTACTCAGTTTTCTATAAAAACGTAAGAACAAAGTATATAAAGTTTATAATCGTGAAATCAAAGGTAGTCACTAATATTATGTCCGACAAATGATCACTTTCTAACACATGATTTTAGAAAATTAATTATTTTACTAGTACTGTATAACTAATGTAGAGAAAAAATCCGTGAAAAATATGATTCAAATCGATTAAATCACTCAAAATAATATATTATAATCGATTATTTATCAAAAAAGAACAGATTTTGATAGATTCTTTAAAATATAAATCGATTTTTAGAAAAAATATCACAGTTAGAATTGTTTCTTTTTTTTATCGAAATTTGGTTAGTTATAAATTAAAGCCAAAGGCAAATGATATGATTAAATATTATAACGAAAGACACTGAAATATTTTATTATACTGATCTAAAAACATTTAGATTTCTTTCTCTGTTTTCTTCTAATTTTATCAGTTCTTTATTTATTTGTTTGATGATGTTTGAAGTAAGAATTATTATTCAATACAGAAAAGCGACGAATATATTATTTGTGTCTAGCGATTGTCAAATATGACCTCTATGCAGAATAATATTTTTCTTAAAAAAGAGCAATCATATATACCATGCGAACCTCTGATTCTAGTTATAAACGAGTTTAAAAGAATTCATCGCTGTATTTGATGGATGAATACTACTGAAAGAGACACTTGCGCGTCGCTCAATTATTATATTGTAAGAGATTAGAAAAATACAATGTTAATAAGACAAATCTGATTATATTCATAAAACTACAAAAACAGTATAAATCAATTTGAAAACTCAAGTTTTATTAATGAAAATGTGAGGTAGTATTCTTTTTATTTTCTATGATCCTCACTTTCTTGAGCGTAAATGAAATGAATATTACATTGATATATGGTTTATTAGAAGGAGAAAAAATAGAAATATGAGAATTAATTAATTTATTTAATGAACAGTTAGATGTTTTCTTCAGATTCCATTTGTGAATTGCATGGTGCAATACTATTCTCAGGTTCAATTTGATTATTTATGTGACAACACCAATATTTCCATCGTTGCCAACATCTTTTTACTAACACAAATTTCACTTGACGACGAAAACGCGACGAGAATATTATGAATATATAAAAACTGATCTAAAATAAATCGAAATCTTGTAAATATAAATTACCAATGGAGATATATTTACAATATTATTTATAATGCTAATAGAAGCAAAAATTGCTTGAATCAATCGACCAACTGCATATGCCATAGGCATACTTTGTGATATAGGAAAATTAATGGAATAGATACGATAAGCATTAAAAGGTGATGCGGAACAAACAAAGGCAATTACACGCATAAGAACCATGGCTGTTATTTGTTTGTCTAATCTACGACGAACAATTGGAAGTTGTCGTCGAACTATATGCCGAACATTATGATAAGCTAAGATACTAAATAATGATGCAATGACAATAGGTAAGAAACCAATTAAAACTGGATAAAAGAAGAATGTCGAGTACTCAACTGCTACATAATTCGATATGGTACATCCAAATGTTGGTTGAATGCCATAAGAAGAGCCAAGTGCAATGCTATGAATGATTGCAAAACAAATGAATATGAAAGTAAAATATCGGCCTAATTTCAATGTGCACATTTGTCTTAAGTTGTAACGATGATTTGTCGAAAAGAACTGATCAACAGCAGAAAAACATATCATATAAAAAGTAGTGAGGCCACATATTTGTGCCAATATGTATCTTAATTTACACCAAATCGAAGAACGTCCTGTTGCATCATCTCCATATATTGATGTTAACGTGATTAAACTAATAGATAAAAACTGATAAACTAAATTGGAAATTGATTCAACAGTTATATAGAAGGCACATCGATTGGTTCGAAATAGTTTCAACTGAGTAAAAACGAAAATATTCAAAACAGTACCAATAACTCCAAAACTAAGCATAATACAACCAGTATAAAGTGAATATTGTGTAGCAAAGCTGAAAATTCCATCAGATACTGATGATGATGATGACATGATACTTTATTTAAAATGAAATATTCTTTATTACTTGTGTTTTTCTTCTTTTCCTAGAAGATCTAAAATTCAATATAAAAAAATGTTAATCTATTCTTACCATTCATAGAGGATCTCAACAGAAACTACTGTCACAATTGATATTAAAAATGGTTAATTACTAGTATGACAATATTTCTTTTTTAATACAAAATATATTGTGTGACATATTCATTTTGAATATAGGATATAAAATTAAAATTTAACGAAAGAATACTTGAATTTCTCATTAGAACTATTCGTAGCTTGTATCAAAGAAAAAAGAACGATGTTTTTTGTCTGAACAACCTACGTAAATAATAAAAAGAGAATGCATGTTAATCTTTCAGGTCAAACAAATATGTCGTTGAAATATTTAATTAACTCTTTGAAGACGGGTGACACTTATATGCGTCGTCGTTTCTGAATTTATCGAAATCACAAGATGGGAGCTATCTATTTATTATTCTGTTTCATGTTGATATAAACTTCCATAATGTATTATATACATATTTGTGATACATCTCAAACAGGAACTGAAATTAATTAAAAATTAATAGTCAATTATTTCTAAGGACTTCTTTTTTTCTAATTATTTATCAACAAAAAAACAAGCCCGTCGCCAAAGGATTAAACAATAATGCACTTATAGAACGCATATTTTAATTCATCTGCGCAATACGTTGCTAGTAGTCTTGTAAGATATTAAAATTTCATTTTGTCCTCAATAAAGATTACAGTTGATGAAGATGTTGGTTATTTTGTGTCCTACAGTTAATATTAAATATGATAAATTACGTTCTATAACTTCTTGCTATAAAATAAAGCAAACAATAAGACAATTTTAAATTGGTAATATAATTATTTCCATTCTTGTTTTCAAACTTTTGATATATTTTGAAAGCATTCATGGAAACTATATGCGAGTTTTCTAACATTAATTTAATTCATTCTTCACTGCCGAGTAATATCATTTATAAAACTGAAATTCGATGTAGACATCTTCGTCACTGCTCAATAAAATTTTCTAGAATTTATGACTAAAAGCTTTGAATATAACTATAAGATTCTATGGAAGTCTCATGGCAACTAGAACATACATCTGATTGAATGATCTTTTTTTCTTGTATTTCTTCCGATATGCATTCCTTGAATAAAGATGGTTCAAAATAAATACTTTTCATGTCTGTAAACTACTTAAATTAAGTGTCAAATTCTCACACATATAGTTGTAATATAATGCTTGACATTTTATCATAAACAAATGAGATGGGTGTGAGTATAGTTTTGAGCTAAAATAAGAGATACTCACATCAATCCTTCAGATTTAATATGAGAAGATGCCATCAGACGTCAGTATCATAAACTATACGTAGCGAATAAGAAATAAGTCTTATAACTATTTTATTAAAGAGTATACAACGAAATTCTCATAAGAACATTATTTATATTAATCAAGTATAAATAGAACATCTATCAATCAAGAAGAACAATTCAGATTAATATCAATTTTTTTTCATTCAGTTTCTATCATGTAATACACACGAAATGATTCATATACATCGTCAGAAATATTTCTCTGATACTCGACTAAGGAGAAATCTCATGGCAAAACATCCACGTGAGCACTTTATCATCTCTTTTTTAGTTGACAGTTTTTTTTTTGTCTAAATGAAAATCATTCTATTCTAGTTAAGTCACATCATTTGCACAATATATTTTTTTTTGAATATTATTACAAAGACATAAAAGAATGAGATATTTGAACAAACAAAATATCAGAAAACAAATGAATTTGATGTCCAATTAACAATCTTTGCAACATTCGAAACAAGCAATCTCTTCGATGGCACAACAAAAGCATAAGCACGCCAAACTAAAGAAGAAAATAATAACAGTCATAATCGATCAACTTAAATTCTAAAACTTACCAATCGAAACAAGCACCACCACCTCGTAATCCTTTGGGAAAGTTATTTCGTGATAGTAGTTGTTGTTGTAATTTTGAAGTGTTGTTTTTCACCGCTTCTATTTCTATTTAAATAAATAAGAATAAGTCGATATAAAATATTTCAATTCTTCATTTAAACAAGGTTATAATTCCATTGATGATAATTTTATTAAAAAACTAAAAGAATGTATAACTTACTCATTTGATCTTGTTCACCATTAAATAAATTTCTGAGAATAGATTTAGAGATATGATTAGAATATTTTATTCATTTTTGAAACTTACAAAGAAGATGGTTGTTGTTGTATTGTGTTATTCATAGTTTAAATCGATTAATCTAACGAAATATATGTTGTTATTCTTGTACGACCTATTTATGGATGAATGAAATGGCTGTATTATCTTTCGTTTCTTGACCGTTTTGCTTCATTGATTCGTCTATATACAGTATAATTCACTTTATATATATATATATATATATATAGAAAGGGCACGAAAATAAAAGTGCCTTCGTCATTCTCTATCTTCTATATTTTTGGTAGATGATGAAGCTTGCTCGTCACAAGTGATTATTACGGATGTGGTCTCTGAAGAAGATAGTACTCACTCACACCCACCCTTAACAATTCTCCTGTATGTGCCGAGAATTTTGTATAAATGATAATTCGCATAGTAAGAATTATGTGAAAGAAAAAAATTTGATAAATACGCTTTTAAAAAGCGTTAAAACAAGTCGAAGATAAACGTCTAAATGACTTCTTCAGTCTGCATGATAAAAATAGCTGAAAGTCGTGACATAATGATTTTCCTTGGTATCTGACCTATTTATAAATCTACGAATGTAACTACGTTCATACTCAGCAGACAATGAAAGATTCGAAGTATATTCTAGTAAATAGATTAAATAGTCTGCCGAAGATACGTTTTAACGCACAAAAAAAGATGTGTAAAGTAAACAGAAAATGAGTGTATTTCGTGGTTCTCGACGACGAGTCAAAAACGGTCATTTTCATCTTTCCTGCACCTTTAAATACTTTTCAGACGATTTTGTCTGATTGAATAGCAAAGTTTCTTTTGTTGAGTACAAGAACAAAGAATGATAAAAATAATTGAGATAAAGAACGGCGGGTAACACATCATTGCTAATATGTCTTATGATATTTAATTTCTACTCAATTGCAATCAAATACAAAACACAATAAAACGCTTATTTATTGATGATTATTTGTGTATTAAAGATAGGAAGAACACATCGATAACTTCTACTACGTTTTAATCTTATCTGGATGTTTTTCGTTTTCTTCTACAAAAAAAAGGCAAATATGTATATTTTATATCCGATAACTTTCTAGAATTAATTTACCTAATTTATGTGGAACAAGTTTGAATATGTGATTACCATTGGTATTAAATGATGAAGATGATCGTCGTTTACTTAAAAGACAATAAATCGAATATATAATAACACCAACTAGATTGAATAAAGCATAGATTAGGAAAAGATATCGTTTCTTCATTCGTGTATATATAAATAAAGAAATAAGTAATCCAACACCGCGACCTATAATGATAATACAATATAAAATGGTTAACCAACAAATACATCATATGATATTTTACCTAAACCAAACGAAGTTCCATACACTATACCTTGAAGTGTTCCGGATAGACCAGGTGGCGCTAAAAATAGAGTTTATCATATGATTGAGGATAGAAAAAAAACGAAATACCAATCTCAAGTGCTTGTTGAGCAATAAGTACATAAAGAATACCAAAATTAAAAAAATGCATTGTTTCCAAAGGTAAAAGAAGATATGGTCGACGGATGAAATAGTAACCAGTGAAGCGTATTATAAAAGCAATAAAGATTAATATTGATGATATTTTTGTACCGAGACATTTTATTAGTTTATGAGCAACAAATAAAGCTATAACTTCAACTGTTGATGTAATCAGTGACATATAACCAACAATTGAATGAGATACGCATGGACTAATTTCATCGATATACAACAGCAAATACTAAAATATAGACAAATAAGAAAAATTTAATATGTGCTTTAACCGTGCTATCTTATATTAAATATTTACCGGATCCATACCACCATAGGATGTTCCCCAGAGAAATGTAGTTGCCAAGAATACCATCACATCGAAATTTTTTAACAATGGTAGAATTGCACATATCTTGAATGGAGAATTTTTGGTTTTCGGTTTTTCTTCATTTTCATTAACTGATGATTCATTTAATTCTTCTATGACAGATAAATCATCTTGATTTGATTTCTCCGCGTTATGTTTATCAGATCGAATGCGAACAAAACTTGTAATGATAACAGTAAGAATACTACTAGCAACGAACATAAAAATGTATACATAATCGGATTTAAAATGTGCATAAATACGACTAGCAATAAAAGCACACAGACCAAAACCCATTGTGCCATAAACCCGTTGTCGACCAAATAGATTGGAACGATGTAAAGCAGCAAAACCAATTGAGTGCCAATTGTTGTAGCATTCGCACATAGATTAAGACCAATTACGATTAAAAATGCATACAAAAGAACATATACTGTTTGTCGAGGAAAACGTGAACCATGACAGAGATGATCGGTTGAACATTTAACATCACATTTAGCCAATTTAGTACTTTTGCTCGGTGATAATACATGTTTATTGTCAAATGAATCTTAGAACAAGAGAAAAAATTCGTATAAAATGAAAAATATCCCTAAATCTTACCTAAAATTTTATCTTTTGTATATTTTTCAATTGGCACACGATAATTGATTTCACATATCGAATGTTCATTGTCGTCTGTAGAAGATACATTTTTATGTTTTTGTTTAATATATGTTGAATTCATTGTAAAATTAAAATTAAATGATTTATCTGATATATTCATATCAGTATTATTTTTTCTCATTGTTAACGACGTACAATTAGCTTGATAAATACATCCACATTGACTTTTCAATGCACATTTAGTAGCAAATTGTTTATTAGCACAAAAATTTAATGAATATTCCATTGTATCGGTTTGATATAATCCACCTTGAATATTATATGCTTTGATAGATGGTAAGAAAAACATAATAATAAAGAGAATAGTTCCCAAACAGAGTGCTATATTAAAGATAAGACGAAAACGACGTGTATGATCAGCAAGAAAACCTACAAGTGGATTGGTAAAGAAGACTGAAAATGGAATAGCTAAATTAATGTACGAGATTTCTACATCGGAAAGACCACGACTACGAAGAATGATATTCATTATTGGACCGAATGCGGCAAAACTTGCATAGGAAAAAAAGTAATGAGCTTTAAGAATAAGATAATAACGATGAATGAATGATGATGATGATTTAGACATAATAATTGATGCTGTGAAAATCTGAAATATAGGATGAATTCATTCAAAAGTAAAATAAAGAGAATACAAAAATTTATTGTATACATTCTAGCCAGTAGACTAAGAGAAGAGCAATTTAAATAATTATGATTACTTATATCATCTGACGATAATTCGAACACACCCACGGCAGCATAATCCGGATAGTGCCAGATTATTCATAACAATTATATTCATATAATACGACAGATTTTTCTATCTATAATCAAAATGTCATAGCGGTAAGCTTATTTCCTAGATATAACAGACACCAGTATTGCTCTAATCGTTAATATACCGCAGTATAATTGCATTTTGATAAGGCTACGCACTCAATATGGTTTATAATCAAAATAAAGACTCGATTATAGAGTATATTGTTCTATTCTTGTGCTCTCGTTGAAATAATCACAAAAATATCAGAATAGAACAAAATACGCACTTTCTTGGTTACTCGTTTCGAGTACTACTCAGTACTTTTGTCTTTCCTGTTGTTTTTCAATATTAATAGAAAATATATATTATATACTAATTATGTGTAATTATTTCTTCTGTTTTGCTAATGAATGTAACACTCGAACATACTCACGTAATAATAATTGCGGTAACATAATTATAACAAGGACTAATCTATATTAACAAATATATCAAAGAAAGGAGCTGAAAAAAATCATATGAAAATAAATGAATATTGAGAGGATAAAACAGTGTTTCTAATAGGAATCTGAAGTAAAATACCTTTCGGCACGTCGAATGTGTAGCCAAAGTACCATTTGGCACTTTGCTTTGAATGGCAAAGTACCATACTGTGCCAAAGGTCAAAAAAACATGTCAAGAAAATATAGACAAAGTTTTTACGATTCGTATACTTTCATGAAGGAATAGTTCGACAGAAAAAATAATGTAAACGAAGTAAAACATACCAACAACAATCATAATAAATACAGCTGTTTGCAAGAAAACCTGGAAATTTTTTTTTCAGGACAGATATTTTTCTACTATAACAAATGAATATAAAACTGATTTTTCCAGGAGTAAATCCTTGAGAGACATACTACATGTTGTATATATAAAATTGTAATTTCTTTCCCCTTTCGTCTATATTCGTTCAATTATGTCATCGCCCAGTAATTTGAGAAGTCACTATATTTCAATTTTGTCTCTCTGAAACAGGGACATACGATCTGCTTCTCTTATTTATCGTGAACCAAATATACACCACTGAGCATTATTTATTACAAGCTTGATGAATTAAAACGAGATAGTTCACTCAAACATCAAGGCAAAAATGATCGACCACGTGTTCTTGGTGAAAAAGAGAAAAAGTTGTAGGTCAATATTTTTGTTATAATAATGAGAGTAGAAAAAATGAAACCAACAAATACTAGTGAATTCGAACTATTTTTAACTGAAGAATTCCTTAATATTGATAATAATGTTGTAGAAAATTGTGTAATGTCGATGAAAAAACGATGTTTGTCTCTTACCGATGGAAGAGGCGAACGAATAAAATATTAAATTATGGTATTTAATATCATTAACTGTAGGCTGTCAGTTTTTACTCTAAATTTTGAGAAGACTCTTGTTTAAAGAAATATTATCTAGCAAGATGGACGAGGTCTATTACAAATATTCTAATATAATATTTACAGGAGAAATAAAAAAAGACTGATAAATTGCAATATTTTTCAGGTGGAATAGCAAAAAAAAGTGCAATATCTTTGACAAATAATTCTGAATGTAGCGAATGAAACGAGGTATTTGTATAATATCTTTTTCATAAGTCAATTAAAAGAATATGAAATTATAGTGTTATTTGGTACTCTTCGTGGGCTAACTACCATATTATACACTAATTTGAAAGGCACTGGTATAGGAGAAGATATTTGTAGAAGAAGGTTTCCAAGTTTTTTTGCAAACAATTGCAGGAAATAAATGTGCTAAGATAAAAATTGATTAGATAACCTGTTTAGTAAAAAACAATATGATCTAGAGAGAAAAAAATAATCTCTACGATCTGCAGCAGATAATAAATCTCGAAGAAGAATGAACTATCTTGGTTCCAACTACAAGTAAAACGAAAAGAAAAGAAAGAAAAAGAAGAAAAGTAACTTATGGATAAGCTATAGTATAACCAATAAGCAAAGTACTTTTTCATTTAACAAAGTGCCACTCAGGTACTTTACTTTTTTCAGCAAAGTACCAAATACCGTGCCTTTTCAAATTTTACCGTGCCGCCGGCACTTTGCTAACACAGTCGGCACGCGCTATTAGAAACACTGGGATAAAAACACGATATAGAAAAAAAAGAAAAAAGGAATAGGAATGAATGATAATAACATGTTAGGTATCACGTGTAAAGCACACGCGAGTATAGATATTGCTTATACTACAAATGGCATTCACACTATCGATATATTTTATAAATAAATTTATTAATTATTTTAAAACAACGTTTAAATTGATTGTACGCGTCATTAGACTGTTACTATCTTTCCGGTATAAAGGAAGACTAATATAATAGATATTATCATTGATAAAAATCAGATGTGGACTGAAATCTATTGATGTTTTTGTTCAATATACATAAAATTCTTGTCCTATTCATTTTCTTCTTTTCAAATCAATAAAAAAACTAGAGAAGTATCTTTGCCAAATTATATACAGTATCGCTATTTACTCCATATTTACAGACAAGTCCTGTGTAATTTAATATGTATGTAAACGTTAATCACTTTATAGTTTTAGAATTAGTACAATTTATGATGATTACGATCAAATGTATAATGTGTTGAGCAATTAGACGTATACGAGTGAGAAAAAGAAAGAAACCGTGCTATATTATAGGGAAAAGAGTGTAGATAAGTATCATCTTCTTCAGAGACTACACCCACACTCTAGTGGCTTTGACATGTACACAAAATGTTATGCTTCCTGAGCAATTACCCAAAACAACATTAGCCAATGATTATATTCGCCTTTAAGATGCATCAAGATTTATTAACAATATTCACCTATAGCCCGATAGTCAAAAACTTGTCTGGTATTTTATTAGTCAATAATAGCCAGAGCTCGTTGCTAAATTTGGTAGCGTAAGCTTCACTCTATCAAACATTGTCGAATGTGTTCTTGAATGTATGAATACAGAAATTAAAAAAAGTTCAAATTTCATTAATGAGGATGTGAGATAATATTCTTTTTATTTTCTGTGATTTTTATCTTCCTGAGGGTGAATGTGGGCGAATAAAATGCATACTATATTTATATATGATTTATTACAAAGAGAAAAACTAGAAATAAGAGAATTGATTAGTTTATTTATTTATTTATTTAATGAACAGTTAGACATTTTCTTCAGATTCCATTTGTGAATTGCGTGTTTCACTATTGACAGGTTCAATTTGATTATTTATGCGACAACACCAATATTTCCATCGTTCCCAACATTTTTTTACTAGAACAAGTTTTACTTGACGACGAAAACGTGATGAAAACATAATAAAAAGATAAAAGTTAATCTAAAATAAATCAATATCTTACATACATGAATCAGAAAATAATTTTACCGTATAGTTTGTAATGAAAATAGAGAGAAGAATTGCTTGAATCAATCGACCAATTGCATATGCCACAGGCATACTTCGTGAGATAGGAAAATTAATGGCATAGATACGATAAGCATTATATGGTGATGCCAAACAAACATAGGCTATTACACGCATAAGAACCATGGCTGTTATTTGTTTGTCTAATCTACGACGAACAATTGGTAGTTGTCGTCGAACTATATGTCGAACATTATGATAAGCTAACATACTAAATAATGATGCAATTACAACAGGTAGAAAGCCACTTAAAATTGAATAAAAGAAAAATGTCGAGTACTGAACTGCTACATAATTCGATATGACACATCCCACTGTTAATTGAATATCATAGGAAGAGCCAAGTGCAATGCTATGAATGATTGCAAAACCAATAAATGCAAACGCAAAATATCGGCCTAGTTTCAATGTGCACATTTGTCTTAAATTGAAATGATGATTTGTCGAAAAGAACTGATCAACAGCAGAAAAACATATCATATAAAAATTAGTGAGTGCACATGTTTGCCCTAATATATATCTTAATTTACACCAAATGAGAAAACGCCCTGTTGCATCATCTCCATATATTGATGTTAAAATAGTTAAAGTAATAGATAAAAGTTGATAAATGAAGTTGAAAATTGATTCAATAGTTATATAGAAAGCACATCGATTAGTCCGAAATAGTTTCAATTGAGTAAACACGAGAAGATTTAACACATTACCAATAACTCCAAAACTAATTAGAATACAACCAGTATAAAGTGAATATTGTGTAGCAAAGCTGAGAATTTCATCAGATACAGACGACGATGACATGATGCTTTATTTAAAATGAAATATTCTTTATTACTTGTGTTTTTCTTGTTTTCCTAGAAGATCTAAAATTTAATAAGAAAAATGGAAGTCTTAAATTGCTAGTAAGACAATGTTTCTTGTTTTATATAGAATATAAAATTTAAGTTTAATAAAAGAAACCTTGAATTTCTCGTTAGAACTATTTGTAACTTGTGTAAAAGAAAAAAGAACGATGTTTTTTCTCTGCACCACCTACACATAAATAATAAAAATGAGAATGTATGTCAATCTTTTATGTCAAAAAACTATATCATTAAACTATTTAATTAAACAATAATGCAATTATTGGACACGTGCTCCAATGCATCTGCGCAATACATTGCCAGCAGTCTTTCAAGATATTAAATTTCATTTTCTCCTCAATGAAGATTACAGTTGATGAAGATGTCGATTATTTTGTGTACTACAGTTAATATTTAATATGCTATATTAATGTTTTATAACTTCTCGCTAGAAAATGAATGAAACAATGAGAAATTTTTAAATTAGTCATTCATTTATTTATTCTCATACTCATCCTCAAAGTTTTGATATATGTTAATGACATTCGTTGAAACCATCTTGAGAGTGTGGGATAATATTTTTGTATTCACTCTCACTTACACCCACACCCTCGAATTATTTTTCATTTAAATGTTATAGACATCACAAAAAAAAAGAATAGTAACATTCCTTCGTTACTTTTAGTTTATTCATCTTTATTGATTACACAAGCACATCTTGTTTCTTATATTAATAAAATTAATTAAGGTGAATTTTAAAAGAAAATATTTTTTCAATAAATGAAGAAAATCTTTAAAATTAATTTCCGTATAGAATCTAATTTATTGTGTACCAAAAATGAAATCCTATCTGAAACATTCGGAATTTACTTTAAAATACTTTCAAGCTGTTGTGGAAAAATAACGACATTTTTTAAATATAAAATAAATGTTTATTCAAATATCATCCGCTTTTGAAAGTGAAACTCTGTTGAAATCTTACTTGATTGGACTATATTAGAGCAAATAGTAAATGAAACAAACATGTATCATTCGCTTTCAAACACAAGTGTCTCAAGCTCGTCCACTTCCCGTCAAGCACCGTGGATCATTATTGGTCTACAAAACAGCTTATCTCTATCTCGATGTTTGCTGAAATATTTTCTAGAGATCGATTTATATTGATACTGAAATTTCTTCATTTCAATGACAACCAGCAACAACAAACGAGTGATCGATTCCATAAAATTAAGTCTATTTTTGATAATTTGAGAAATATTTTTAACAGTACATACCGATAAAACGACATCGATTTGGTGCTAAATTATTCATATTATGTGACTGCTATACTGATTTCATTATGAATTTGATAATCTATACAGACAAACAGATCGAAATTCTACTAGATAGAGAACAAGGAATGGCTGGTTCAATTGTTTTTTTAAATAATCCTATCTAGAAACGATTAATGTACTTTTCGACTTGGGTATGCAACAAAACTAGGATTATAGTTACTCAGGTGATTCAATACGATGATTTGTTATAAAGAGACAAAATAGAAATATGAGAATTTATTTATTTATTTATTTAGCGAACAGTTAGATGTTTTCTTCAGATTCTATTTGTGAATTACGTGCTTCAATATCATTGTCAGGTTCAATTTGATTATTCATAGAACAACACCAATATTTCCATTGCTGCCAACATTTTTTTACTAACACAAATTTTACTTGACGCCGAAAACGCGATGAGAATATTGTAAAAACATAAAAGTTGATCTAAAACAAACCAAAATCTTACTGCTATAAATTAGAAGAGAAAATCTATTTACAATAAAATTTATATTGTTGATAGACAGAAGAATTGCTTGAAGTAATCGACCAACTGCATATGCCATAGGCACACTTCGTGATGTAGGATAATTAATGGCATAGATACGATAAGCATTGTAAGGTACTACTAAACAAACATAAGCTATTACACGCATAAGAACCATTGCTGTTATTTGTTTGTCTAACTTACGACGAACAATTGGTAATTGTCGTCGAACTATATGCCGAACATTATGATAAGCTAAGATACTAAATAATGATGCAATTATAATAGGTAAGAAACCAAATAAAACTGGATAAAAGAAATATGTTGAGTACTGAACCCATACATAATTCGATAAGACACATCCCAATGTTGGATGAATACTATAAGAACAACCAAGTACAATGCTATGAATGATTGCAAAACAAATGAACATTAACGCAAAATATCGACCTAATTTCAATGTGCACATTTGTCTTAAATGGAAATGATGATTTGTTGAAAAGAACTGATCAACGGCAGTGAAACATATCGTATAAAAAGTAGTGAGGCCACATGTTTGCCCTAATATATATCTTAGTTTGCACCAGATGAAAAAACGTTCTGTCGCATCATCTCCATATATTGATATTAAAACAGTTAAACTAATATAGACAAACTGATAAATGAAGTTGAAAATTGATTCAATAGTTATATAGAAAGCGCATCGATTAGTTCGAAATAGTTTTAATTGAGTAAAAACGAGAAGATTCAACGCATTACCAATAAATCCTAAACTAATTATAATAGAACCAGAATAAATCGAGTATTGCGTAGCAATTTTAAGAATTCCATCAGAGACTGACGACGATGACATGATCCTTTATGGAAAATGAAATATTCTTTATTACTTGCGTTTTTCTTCTTTTCTTTGAAGATCTAAAATTTAATATAAAAAAGTATCAATGGATTCTTATCATTTACAGAGGATCTTAACAGAGATTACTATCACGATTCATAATGAAGGTATTTAATTACTAGTATGATAATGTTTTCTTTTTTGACACAAAATATACTGTCTCTATTGAATGATATATCAATTTTGAATATAGAATATAAAATTAGAATTTAATAAGAAAAATACTTGAGTTTCTCGTTAGAGCTATTTGTAACCCGTATAAAAGAAAAAAGAACGATGTTTTTCTGTGGGCTGTCTACACAAAAATAAGAAAAATGAGAATGTATGTCAATCTTTTATGTCAAAAAAATATGTCATTAAACTATTTAATTTACCAATAATGCACTTATAGAACGCATGTTTTAATTCATCTGCGCAATACATTGCCAGCAGTCTTTCAAGATATTAAATTTCATTTTGTTCTCCATAAAGATTACAGTTAATGAAGATGTTGATTGTTTTGTGTCCTCCATCTAATATCTCATATGATATATTGATGTCCTGTATCTTCTCAGTATAAAATAAAGAAAACAATGAGACGGTTTTAAATTGGTGATTCATTTATCTCTATTCTTATTCTTAAAGTTTTGATATGTTTTAATAGCATTCATGGAAACCACCTTGAGAGTGTGGGATAATACTTTTATATTCACTCTTACACACACCCACGAAACTGTGGCTCATTCTTTCGAAGACTTCTCATCTTGAAAAAACTAACATTGAGGACGTAACACAAAATACAGAGATAAAAACAAGAATATATATCGAGCCTGATGAATATTCAGAAAGACTTTACAGTGACCGATGTAAATAAATACAATAACGTGTATATTTACGAATATTCTATTTATTTCTTTATATAACTCAAACTAAAAAGTACCGAAAAGAAGATGAAATTGCATTGTTGTTTATGTCACATCCTGTAATATATAATGTAAGTTACAATAACATTTTGTTAGTCTTATATCTATAATATACATTCATATTGACATCAAGAAATATCTGTCGCTGACAAGATAATTTATCTTATTTTAGATTATCAACTCACATCTGTCTTTATCAAATATTAAAAAATGATAGAATTTTGTATTCTTCTGCAAATACTACCTTAAACTAAAAATCAAATAGTCTATCCATTCCTGATAAATATCGCTTGGAATTCATTGAATTTGCACTTACTCTCAATTTTAAATGTTACTTAATAAATTACTTTTTACATTTTTTATGCATGAATGTATGAAATTTATTTTATCATCCTACTCAGTAACATGAAAAGCACACAGTATCACAGATTTTTAGACTGACATTCACATACCCACACCCGACTTTAAAGGTACTTATTATTATGAATGGTATGTTTAATACTTTATTTAGATAGAATACTTAGTTTGTGTGTTTAAACAATAATAAACTTGATGAAAAAAATGACAATACAAAAAAGAAGAAGATGAACAGAAACGTTTTTTGTAAGAGATGCACCATTATTGTTGATCTTTGCCGCAATTCGATCTAACATATGTTTATATCGAGGATCGACTTCGGTGGATGCGTCAAGCTCCAATCGATTCATAACATAGGCAAATGAAAGTTGTTTTGCAGGTGCAGCAAAACCAATGCTCCCACCAGCTCCTAAAATAGAAGAAGATAAATTGATATGTAAATTCTATATTCTAAGTTACCACTATGACCGAATACTCCTGGCCCAAGTGATGGAAGAGTTCTATCCAGAAGAAAAAAAACCCATTGCAAGTACAGAAGTAACATTAAATACAGAATCAATTTCACCTGGAGGTGTGTTCGATTTTGTTGCTTCTTTCAAGATTTCTTCATTTAATAATCGTTTATATTTATTATTTTCTATATCTCCAATTAAAGATGCGTAAAGTCTTGCTACTGATCGAGCATTTGTTATTCCATTAGCAGCTGGAATCTCTGCTTCATGTGTACGCTGCTCGTTAAACCAGGCAAATGCTGAAGTATCAATAGATCCATTTCCATTCGGTTTGACATTAAGTGGTGAAACACGATATTCTTCTGTTGATGGTAAACCAATGTAGAATTCGATATCTAATTTAGAAGCAATTTCATCTCGAATAAACTGTCCTAAAGATCTTTTTTTTTATCAACTCTTCGAACGAGTTCTCCCGCTAACCATCCGTATGTCAGAGCATGATAACCATGTTTTGTTCCAGGCAGCCATATTGGTGATTGTCGTTGCAACATATCTATCATCACTGCCCAGTTCAAACGCTGTTCGTCTGATGCTGATTCAAAAGGTAATCCTGCACGATGTGATAGAATATCTGCCACTGTTGTATTTCCTTTCCCACTCTGCCCATATTCTGGCCAATAATCTGCCACTAATGCTGAGTAATTAAGTAGACCTTGTTGAACACAAAGTGCAGCAGCTACAGCTACTACACCTTTCGACGTTGAAAATACCAATTGTAATGTATTATTGTCATAGGCTTTTCCTTGAGATTGATCAAACGATCCGGCCCATAGATCAACAACTAATTTCCCTTGATGATAAACGGCTACTGATCCACCAAGATCTCGTTCTTCTATGAAATTTTCTTTGAATATATCTCGTACAAAGTCCCATTCATTATCGGTTGCACCATAAATATTCAATTCGCCATGAACATTATTAACAACTGATAGAATAAGAAAAAACCAAAGGTGATTACAAATATATGCCATATCGCAAGACTTCGTTTCTATTACGACTAAAAATGAAAAAAACAAAAAAATAAAAAATGAAAAGTGATACGAGAGTATACAATACTTATATACTATCATCTCGATTTCAGAACATCAACCGAAAACAGAGAATTTCTTATCAAGAAAACTTTTTGTGTACTTCGTTTGTGTGCATAACAGAAATCGAGAAGTTCTCGACAAACGAATATTAATTCCTTTTTAAATATTGGTTTTAAGCGATTAAAGATGAGGGTAACTATTCGGTTCTGGATCGATGTGAAAGAAAAGTGTCTAAAAACAACTTGTAAATATTATTCATATTAAAAAAGTACGATTATAACACTTTTCGTACTATTTCGTACTTTATTAAGTAAAATTTAACACTATTCCAAACTTTCTAAAATATTTTTAAACACTTTTTTTTCTAAAAATAGTTTAATTTAATATATACAATAATACAAAATACTTTTATCTAGTTGATTTACTTCTAACTTCATTTCAATGACAGTCAGCAACAACAAACTGATGATCGATTGCATATACTAAAGCCTGTTTTTGATAATTTGAGAAATATCTTTAACAATATATACCGGCAAAACGACATCGATTTACAATCCTATTCAGAAAAGATTAGCGTACTTCTCGACTTGAATATGCAATAAAATTAAGATTATAGTTACTCAGGTAATACAATTTGATGATTTATTATAAAGAGACAAAATAGAAATATGAAAATTAATCAACTTATTTATTTAGCGAACAGTTAGATGTTTTCTTCAGATTCTATTTGTGAATTACGTGCTTCAATATTGTTGTCAGGTTCAATTTGATTATTTATGTGACAACACCAGTATTTCCATCGTTCCCAACATCTTTTTATTAAAACAAGTTTTGCTTGGCGACGAAAACGTGACGAGAACAATATGAAAGTATAAAAGCTGATCTAAAATAAGTCAAAATCTTACAACTATAAATTAGAAAAGAAAATCTACTTACAACAAAATTTATATTGTTGATAGACAGAAGAATTGCTTGAAGCAATCGACCAACTGCATATGTCATAGGCACACTTCGTGATGTAGGAAAATTAGTCGCATAGATACGATAAGCATTATAAGGTAATACCAAACAAACAAAGGCAATTACACGCATAAGAACCATTGCTGTGATTTGTTTGTCTAATTTACGACGAACAATCGGTAATTGTCGTCGAACTATATGCCGAACATTATGATAAGCTAAGATACTAAATGATGATGCAATGACAATAGGGAGAAACCCAGATAAAACTGGATAAAAGAAATATGTTGAGTACTGAATCCATGTATGATCCGATATAATACATCCCAATGTTGGCTGAATACCATAAGAAGACCCAAGCGCAATGCTATGAGTGACTGCAAAACAAATGAATATAAACGAAAGATATCGACCTAATTTCAATGTGCACATTTGTCTTAAATGGAAATGATGATTTGTTGAAAAGAATTGATCAACGGCAGTGAAACATATCATAGAAAGAGTAGTGAGCGCACATGTCTGTCCCAATATATATCTGAGTTTACACCAAATGAGAAAACGTCCTGTTGCATCATCTCCATATATTGATGTTAAAATAGTTAGACTAATGGAGAAAAACTGATAAATGAAGTTGGAAATTGATTCAATGGTTATATAGAATGCACATCGATTAGTTCGAAATTGTTTCAATTGAGTAAAAACGAGAAGGTTCAACGTATTACCAATAACTCCAAAACTAAATAAAATAAAACCACTATAAATCGAGTATTGTATAGCAAAGCTGAGAATTCCATCAGAGACTGACGACGATGACATGATACTTTATTCAAAAGAATATATTCTTTATTATTTATGTTCTTTTTCTTTTTCTAGAAGATCTAAATTTTAATATAAAGAGGAGGATGAATCTGCCCTTGTCATTTATTATCTATAAAGCATCTTAATAGAAATTAGTGTCACAATTGATAATAAAAGTCTTTAATTACTAGTATGACATATTAATTTTTAATATAGAATTTAAATTTAATAAAATAATATTTGAATTTCTCACTAGAACGCTTTGTACTTTGTATAAAAGATGAAAGAATGATGTTTTTCCTCTGCGGTACCTACACATAAATAATAAAACGAGAATGTCTATTAATGTTTCATGTCAAAAAAAACATATCATGAAATTATTTAATTAAGCAACAATGCAATTATTGGACACGTGCTCTAATTCATCTGCGCAATACATTATTGTCGGTAGCCTTTTAAGAGATTAAATTTAATAAGTATGTAAAAAGTGAAGAAAGGAATTTCATTTTCTCTTAAATTTAAAATTAGAATTAATGACGATGTTAATTATTTTATATTTTTTTTCTCTATAAAATCAATTGGTCAACCGTTTATTTCCATTCTTATTCTCAAACTTTTGATATATGTTAATAGTATTCATAGAAATTATATACATGGGAGTTTTTCTAAAATTAATTTAATTCATTCTTCAGTACCGAGTGGTACCATACCTATCAAACTGAAATTAGATGTTGATGTTGTTCTCATTGCCCAATAAGAATGTTCTAGAATTTTGACCAAATGCTTTAAATGTAACTATAAGATTCTATAGAAGTCTCATTGGAACTGAAACATGCATCTGATTGAATGATCTTCTTTTCTTATATTTCTTTCGAGGGTTGACGATGGTGAAGGTGTACATGAGCGTTAAATGATTCATTCCACTAATACGTACACCCCACACACCCACACTCACACCCTCAAGGACCTGGTGCTATATTTCTATTATACTCCCATAAAGAAAATCTTTTTCAATTTAATTATCATTATCAAGGTGAGATTCATAATTGGTATCTATTATCGTGGAAAGAAAGACTTCTTTTTGAAAATATATTAGAAGAAAAAAAACCATCGATATGTATTGAACATAAAAATATTCTTATTGATCCATCAATGCATTATGAATATACTATAAATTATCATAGAATAATTCAATATCCAAATGAAATTATTATTTTATCATGTGAAATTCTTTAATCAAAGTATATTTAAAGATATTTCATTTATTAATGATGTATATGAGTAAGTTTTATTTGAACTTATTTTAATAAATTTCTTTTAGAGAAGGTTTCTTAAAGAATATATCTGATGAATCAATTAATTCGAAAAAATTCTATCAATTTGAAAATGAAACACATTTAAATAGTGATTATTTTCATCGGAAGATTTTTTTGATGAAATGCTTACATAAAATGAATATTTTTGATACATCTCCACCTATTATTCAATCAATCGAACAGCAATGTCAATATACAAATAATCATCAAAGAAAACTATTGGTAAGTTAAATAAATTAGTTTTATTTAAAAGATTTCAAAAGTTGCTCAAATAAAAAGAAGGGTGTGGATGCTCGGTGAATACAGTATTCATATCCACCGTCAAGAACAACAAGACATATGAGAATTAATATATTTATGTAATGAATGAACAGTTAAATATTTTCTTCAGATTCCACTTGTGAATTGCGTGGTTCAATATTGAAAGGTTCAATTCGATTATTTGTGTGACAACACCAATATTTCCATCGTTGCCAATATTTTTTCACTAGAACAATTTTCACTTGACGACGAAAGCGTGGTGAGAATATTATAAAAATATAAAAGTTGATCTAAATGAAAGCAAAAACTTGAAATATGAATCAACAAAGAAAATCATTTTACCATATAATTTATATTATTGATAGAAAGAAGAATTGTTTGAAGCAACCTACCAATTGCATATGCCATAGGTGTACTTGGTGGTATAGGAAAATTAATGGAATAGATACGATAAGCAGTATTAGGTAGTGTCAAACAAACGAACGCAATTACACGCATAAGAACCATTGCTGTTATTTGTTTGTCTAGTTTACGACGAAGAATGGGTAATTGCCGTCGAACTATATGACGAACATTATGATAAGCTAACATACTAAATGATGATGCAGTTACAACAGGTAGAAACCCAAATAAAACTGGATAAAAGAAATATGTTGAGTACTGAATCCATGTATGATCCGATATGATACATCCTAATGTTGGCTGAATACCATAAGAAGACCCAAGCGCAATGCTATGAATGATTGCAAAACAAATAAATATAAACCCAAAATAACGACCTAGTTTCAATGTGCACATTTGTCTTAAATGGAAATGATGATTTGTTGAAAAGAACTGATCAACAGCAGAAAAACATATCATCGAAAAAGTGGTGAGCGTACATGTTTGCGCCAATATATATCTTAATTTACACCAGATGAAAAAACGTCCTGTTGCATCATCTCCATATATTGATATTAATATAGTTAGACTAATGGAGAAAAAATGATAAATGAAGTTGGTGATTGATTCAATAGTTATATAGAATGCATATCGATTAGTTCGAAATAGTTTTAATTGAGTAAAAACGAGAAGATTCAACACATTACCAATAACACCAAAACTAGTTATAATACAACCAGTATAAATCGAGTATTGCGTAGCAAATTTAAGAATTCCATCAGAGACGGACGATAATGACATGCTAATTTATTCAAAATGATATATTGTTTATAATTTGTGTTTTTCTTCTTTTGCTGAAAAATCTAAAACTGAATGTAAAAAAATATGAATCTTTTTCTTGTGATTTATGTTTTATGAGGCATCTTAGCAGAAATTATTGTCACGATAGATGATAAAAGTCTTTAATTACTAGTGTGACGATGTTTCTTTTTTCATAGAAAATCTTTTGTGTCTACCCAAGTCATTCAATCCGACCTGTAAACCCTACAGGAAACTATCGGATCCGATGTCGAATTCCCGGTAAAAACCTACCGACGCCAAATGAAATTTTATCGGATTTCTAACTAACGGATTTCGGACTAGATAACCTCGGGAAACATCCGATCGATGTCTATCGCATCGACTCGTCAGATATTGCTGTAATCATCAAAATCCGGTCATAGGGAAACAACTAATAACGCAAAGTTCTGATCTAATACCGTCCGAAATTTATTGGATTTGTGTCGATTGCAGACAGATTAAATGAAAACTTCTCCCCCACTATTATTCACCATTTCTCGAGATATTCAAAGATTTTACCAAGATTTTTACAATTATTTAAGTGAGATTTTAAAAGATTTGTGTTCTTTTAATTCTATTTAATCCTGTAATGGCACAATATATATACCAGAACTATTTCTAGAACTTCGTAATAAATTATCTACGATCATCTCTAGTATGGACATGTAGATTAAAAAAGTTTTCAAATGTAGTTAAAAAAATTTAAAAAAAGATTTGTATATATCGCATGTCAATTCAGAATTTAGTTGAGATCGCAATTCTCTATTACAGCGTGAATGTTGTGATAAAACAATTAGCATGAATAATTTTTTTCTGTTTTTGAGGATATGAGATTATTTGCTTGAGTATGTTATTTGAAAGGCTCCAATCTTCTTTATGTTGTTTAAGAAAAGAAGATTTGCACGAGATGTTTATTTTGTAACGCTCAGAACATTGGGACAATACTACTTTGTTTTACCTGGTTGAAGAAAAAAAGATTTGCAAGAGAGGTTCATTTTCTAATGCTTAGAAAATTTTTTGATTTTAGAAGTTTCAATGAATAGAAAGTGTTTTTTTCTTTGAAAACCAAATTGTTGAGGTTTTTACGAATATTTGAGAATTAATATATCGAATGTTCCGAGGATATTATGTAATTAGTAGATGAATTTTGTACTGAAGCTATGTTTTCGTTATATTATTTGTTATTTATTATCTTGATTCATATATCTATCTAAAATGACTGAAAAAGAAAACAAACTATTCAGCATGGTAATAAAAGTGTTGATATTTTTATTATGGAAACACATTCAAAATCTCGAAGTTTTATAGGAAGTACATTTTACAATCAGTACACGGTAAACAGATGTTCCTAAATGAAATGAATGTAATCTGAAAAAGAATTGTTAAAATACAAAACTGTTTTTGGAAATATCGACTTTTTTCAACATCTCTTGTAAAAGTTCAATAGAAAAGTAACTAACTTTAGTTTATCAAGAATTAGTAAAGAAATAATCTATAAAACTTTTAAACTGCACATCAGTATTCTATAAAAGGAGCCAAATATTTTGTATGAATATAACTCATATATAATCGGCCAGTTTTTTTTGTGAAGATCAATGTAAAATTCATCAGAGATTCTTATAAAAGAAAGTTTTCGCAAAAATCATATTTAAATGGATTATTTGATTAAAAATTCATTAAAAATCGATTTCTAATAATCAATGATAATTCAATAATTCTTTTTTACTTTTTTTTTATGCGAGGACAGTGCTATCACTATTGGAGAACAAAGTGATCTCTACTAATTCAAAATAATTTGAAATTAAAAAATCAGTTTTCCCCCTTTATCATTATGCAAAAGTGTAATTAATTTCAAACGCTATTATTTTTGTCTCACTTAAGTTATTTAATATTGAGACAATTATTATCTCGATATATGGTAGCTATTTGTAGTTGTTTACATTTGATAATTGCTATTCATTCAGTTTGATTTTGTTCAATAAAACGTAGCGGCATGAGTTTTCAATGCAATTATTGAGGGTGTGAGTGAGGGTGTTTGTGTGCAAAATACGATATCAACACCCACACTCACACCCTCGATATAAAAAATTATCTACTATGTTCATCAATTTCAAAATGATTAATATATTTCCGTGCTATTCAAAAAATCATTGTTAATACTTCCACCAGTGATTAATATTTTTCCATTTTTTAAAACAGTTGCAGTATGCTGAAATCGCGAATGATGAAGTCCATCAGTAATCAACCAAGTTCTCGTTAATGGATCATATAATTCCGAACTATTTGAAAAACCACTTGAGTTATATCCACCAGCAACTAACACTTTTCCATCATTTAATACAGATGCTGTGTGAAAAGATCTTGCATTATGCATTGAACCCGTAATTGTCCAAATTCCGGTCGATGGATCGTACAACTCAGCTATATTTATAAACTTATCACTAAATCCACCAGCAACTAGTACTTGCCCGTTTGTTAATATGGATGCTGTGTGACCAAATCGTTGTGTATTCATGTTTCCTGCAGCTGTCCAGTTTCCTGTTGATGGATCATACAATTCAGTACCCTGTCCAACATTCTCATCAGTTACTCCACCAGCAATTAATACTTTTCCATTAGTGAGTACGGATGCAGTAAAATCAAACCGTGCGACACCGATCTTACCAGTAGTTGTCCAAGTTTCAGTTGATGGGTCATATAGCTCAGCACTATTTAGAAAACGTGTACCATTAGATCCAGCAATAACTAGTACTTTTCCATTTGGTAATATGGAGACCATATGACCGAATCGTCGAAAGTTCATTGTACGAGTCATTGTCCAAATGCCTGTTGTTGGCTCATACAATTCAGCAGTATTTAAAGTATTTCGGCTATCATCTCCTCCAGCAACTAAAACTTTTCCGTTCATTAAAACAGATGCTGTATGCATAGCTCGTACACAATTCATTCTACCACTAACTGTCCAAGCTTCAGTCAATGGATCATACAACTCAGTACTGTTATTATAATAATCAGTACTATTCACTCCGCCACTAACTAAAACTTTTCCATTCGTCAATAAGGATGATGTATGCAGCGCTCTTCGATAAATCATACTTCCGGTATTAGACCATTCTAAAAGAAAACACATATTTTTGGGCCTTGCAGGTCATCTGATTATGTGCAAAAAGTTCTATATCGTCAAGATATAATTATTATCTCTGTGATTATTTCATTAACTGAAGATGACTGCTATCTACATCATTTCTCTTGACTTGTTGAAAACATAATCGTAGATATCACTCTAAAAGCATCACGGAAGGAATAACTATAATTTCATTTGTTTTGTTTATACTAAGCATTGAGTAACTTACTTGGTTTCCAAAAATCTTTGCAGGTATTAAAAAGAATTAGTTCAAAGCTTACCTGATAGATGCACAGTGGTTACGGGTAGAGCTGGCGATATTAATATGTTTTTTCTTGATCGTAGCAGCGTTTCGATGGTTGTAGTAGTAGCTGCCAACTTTCCTGGGGCAATGATGGCGAATAATGAAACCAGACACAAAATGGCTACAAAAATTAATAAAATGATTAATAAATGTGGAAGCTGGTAAACGCAACGCCGTGATGACCACTTTCATAGTCTAAGGATATGTATCGATGCGTCAGTGTACATAATCACGTACAGATTAATAGTGAAAATGATTTTAGGGATCGATGACTCTAACTCTTAAGAAACTTGTTCAAGTTTTTGAATTTAGTTCGCCCTATCGGATGGAATCAATCCATTAACAGTGTTGTTTTTGCTATTTTGACATTTTGTCTATGCATGTATATCTAAACCGATGCATTGAAAATACTTACCGTACATTTGATTGTGATGCATGTTTTCTTCCAAAATTGACTTAAAAACTTTATATTATATACGACACAACAGTAACCAAAAATGAGTAATATTATCTTTATCTAAAAAGATATTGCTGTGTTCTTATCTTTATATGATAAAATTTGTTTATGAATAATAGAAATAGGACCAGTTTGGTTAAAACCACTCTTACATTCGATGAGTAAGAACACATAAAATAGATTGAAGCGCCGGCAATATGATCATCCCTTGTATACTCATTTTATTTTGATTAATTCATGGGCAAAGTGTAAAAAATTCAATACAAAACTATTCTTACCTTTAATTTTTTCCTCACATTAAATACTCTCCTTTGAATGTTTACTTAGTAGACACTACAGTTGAGGATGGGTGTGGATGTATATTTTAGAAGGACGCAATAATTTCACTCTTTTCCTCAAATCGTATTAGCTTATATTTTCCGTTCTAAGAAAACAAACGTTGTTGGGTTCATCCCATGCATCCAGATACACAAGTGATATGCCTAGTTGAGAAAAGTTCTGTTCTTCGCGTTCGATTGTCATTCTAAGTAGACATATATCCTCGTCTTCAAGAACGTGTTCTACATTCGATGCTATATAACATTCCATACGTAAATCAATTCGAACTGTCATAATACCAATTAAAATGTTTTGCCATAGAGATGAATCGATGTCTCGCGTGATCTCCAAGAATCCATTTCCCTTCAAAGTCA